TAGCTTTTTGCCACATTAAAATCTAGAGACACCATATAATAATACAGAAAAATGTCTAATGCAAAATTAACTTGCAGCCGGGTACCAGTACGTCATGCCTACAATCCTAGCTACTTAGAAACTTAGATTGGAAGATTGCAGTTCAAAGTCAGATGGGCAGGTAAGTCCATTAGATTGTTATCTTCAAATAACCACCAAAAATCTGGAAGTATAACTGTGACTCAAGTGGTAGAGTGCTAGCCATGCACACAAAAGCTCAGGGACAACATCCAGGCCCTGAGTTCAAGCCTCAGGACCAGCATATACACATATGCATGCACACTCACACATACAAACACACACACAAACACATACACACAATTTTATACCTAACTAAATAAACTTTTGTGCAAAATTGTATAGTTACACAGGGAAATTGCCTCAAGAAGATGGAAAAGATTTTCCAAAAGCTCAGATTGTAATTATTAAGGCTGAAAGATGAATGTGTGTATTACATATAAAGATAGCAAGGAAATTCCATTCAAAGGGTATGGTAGTGAGATACAAAATGATGTGTCATATTTACATATCAAAGACTGACTTGGCAATAGCTTAAGTACATGGGGCAGGTGACATTGGACCAATAAAATCAATACATGAGGAAATGCTTTATATTCCATAAAAGGTTATCTCACACACCCCTACTCCTCCCCTAGATGGTGGGGTTTAGTAAAGAGAAACTGCATGATGAACTTTGTGCTTTTGGAAAAAGTAATGCTGGAGGCAGAACAGAAGTACAAAGAGCTAGTGGGAAACTAGTATGACAAATGCCTTTACAAAAATGCTGAAATAAGGATACAGTTGAGCCCTTGTAACAAGGAGATGTACAAGACACTATGTTGAAAACAAACTTTACAAGCTGGGGTGGGAGAGGAGTTGGGGAGGTGGGGAAGGAAAGGATGGTAGGGGAAAAACAAAGGAGTAGGTAACAATGCTCAAAGGAAATGTATTCATTACCTTACTTATGTAACTATACAGTATTTTTACAATTAAAAACATATAAAAAAAGAAATTGTTAACAGGTAAAAAGAGTATGTTGGGAGTGAGATCCTAAGTAAATCTCAGGTAAGGGAGAGCCAGTAGTGTCAGAAGCTTCAGGATTGTTCCTAGAGGATATAAATGGTTAAAAAGAAAAGAAAAGAGACTAGGTGCCAATGGCTCACATCTGTAATCCTAGCTATTCGGGAGGCTGAGATTTGAGGACTGAGGTTCAAAGCCAGTCCAGGCAGGAAAGCCCATGAGACTCTTATCTCTAATTAACTACCAAAATTAATAGAGGGGAGGGGAGGGAGAGGGAAAGAGAAAGAAAGAAACCTAGAAGTGGAGCTGTGGCTCAAAGTGGTGGAGCACTAGCCTTGAGCAAAACAGCTCCATGACAGCAACCAGGCCCTGAGTTCCAATCCCATGACAGCTCCCACCCTCAAAAAAATGTACTTATGAGTGTAGTATATCTGAATTTTGAACTTAGTAACTAGGTTTTAATAGCTGAATGACGTGAAATATTATTTTATTTCTTTGGTCTTTAATAACTTCTATTAAATCAATGACTATACCTAACCCAAGTAAGAATTGTAGTAGAGTTGCTATGTATGCTATGAAATTACATATAAGATCTAAGAAAATTGCTACCTGTAAAAAGTATATGTTTTATGAATAATTAAAAACCTCTCAACCAGGTGCTGGTGGCTCATGCCTGTAATCCTAGTTACTTAGGAGGCTGAGATCTGAGGATCAAAGTTCAAAGCCAGCCCCTGGCAGAAATGTCTCTGTGAGACTCTTATATCAAGTTAAACACTCAAAAACTGCAAGTGGAGCTGTGGCTCAAAGTGGTAGAGTGCTAGCCTTCAGCAAAAGAGCTCACGGACAGTGCTTAGGCCCTGAGTTCAAGCCCTACAACAGGCAAAAATAAAAAAAATCATCTTTTAAAGGATGGAACAAAGCCACTGTTCATTGCAATTACCTCTGTTCTTGACCCTGTGATGTCCATACAATGTGAATTCACTCTCTCTCTGTTGCTCCTACTCTTATTCTCACTCTCCCAATCCCACCAATTGTGCTACTGAGGTTTGAATTCAGAGCTTTGCTCTTATTTTACCACCTGAACACCATGAAGGGGCTTTGATTATTTGTGAGGTAGGGTGTCAATTTTTGTTCAGGCTAGACTGGACTGTGATCCTACTCTTTATACTTTCTACCAGTCTGAGTTGATATGTGCATGCCAACATACCCAGCTATCAGTCGAGGAACTGTGATCCACCCAATCTCTGCCTCCTTAGTAACTAGGATTTTTACTAGATATGAGCATTGGTTCTGACTTCTTTTTATTTCTTGACTTTTTGTAAATGGAAAAGGGCTTTGGTAATAGTAAAATTTTGGTTTCCTACTGTCTTCATTTACCTATTCACTTTTCGAAGCACTAAATGTATATTTTCTTTCTTCAGAACCTGTCTCAAGCCTACATCTCTAGTCCAAATCTGTCTCCACCCCACCATCCAATATCCATCTTCAGTCTCTTCTCCTAAACTTCTACTCTATACCATAAGTTTATATTCAAAACAAGAACTGCTGGGTGCTGGTGGTTCATGTCTGTAATCTTAGCTACTCAGTAGTCTGAGATCTCAGGATCATGGTGCAAAGCCAGCTCAGATGCTTTATCTCCAATTATCCACCAGCCAGAAGTAAAGCTCAAGTCACCACTAGCCTTGAGTACAAAATCTCAAGGACAGTGCCCAATCCCAGTACCAACACACACACTACAATAATTTCAATATAACAAACGTAAGGTTTCAGATCTATACTGCCATTTACTGCAGGCTGGATTCAGTTTCCATTTTGTTTCTTTGGGTATAAAAGGGCAATAACAATACTTACCTAGCATAGGAATAGATGAGATTATACATGAAATACACTGTAGAGGAGAAAAATTCCTCCTTTATTCTCTCAGAGTCTGGAGCTAGCTATATAAAACAAACTAAACTAAAAGTTTAATAGGTTGCATGCTTTCCCTCATTTGTTTAATTAGAATGTACCTATAAATCTACAAGTAAACCCAATGGAAAATAAAAGACAAAAAAATGACACTTGACATGAAAAATTAAACAGAACTCCAAACAGTCAGACAGTGTGACCAAAGGAGGATATTCTTAGGAGAGGATCACAAGGGTTCAATAGCTGGGTGCATATGATCATATAAAATGATGTTTATTGAACTGAACTCCAAGAAATGGAAACAAGAGGCTTTTTTTTATAGTTTTGTGGAGGGGTTTCCTTCTGTTTTTCCTCTTTTATCTCTGTTTTTGATTTCTCTACCTTTTATGTCATGTGCAAGTTTATCTAATTAGGAGAGGGTAAAGGGAATGCAAAGAAATGGTGGGGCAAAAGGTGAGCAAATGCAACAGCGATACTCATTAAGCACTATTTAGAAATGAACTATATAACTTGGAGGGGAGGGGGTTGGGAGGAAAAAAACTGGGAGAAAATGAGGGAAGAAGTGACACTGTTCAAATAGAAATGTACTGTAACTCCTCTGAACTTCACCTTTACAATAAAAGAAAAAACTTTAAAAAAATAAAAGTTTAAGCAGGTGGAAATCATGAAAACTTTATTTTGTACAGTGCTAGAGATTGAATCCAGAGCCTTGTGTGTGCTATGCAAGTGCTCATCCTCAGCCTTTGAGGTTATTATTGTTACATTTTGGGGTTTTTTATTGTTACATTTTGGGGTTTTTTTGAGACAGTTTTCCTAACATATTTACTTACACCCACCTAGACCTTTGGCCTCAAATTCTTCTTACTTCCACTAAGCCTTCAGAGTGCTGATATTACAAGCATTTAATCTGGATAGGCTACCATGTCCAGCTGCATTTTCTTTTTTCTTTTTTGCCATTCCTGGGGCTTGAACTCAGGGCCTGGGCACTGTCCCTGAGTTTCTTTTGCTCAAGGCTACCACTTGAGCCACAGTGCCAGTTCTGTTTATGTAGTACTGAGGAATCAACCCCAGGGCTTCATGCATGCTAGGTATTGCAGGGTCTAAAGAGTCTACCACTTAAAGCTCAAAGATTAAAAATAAGCTTTATTATAGAGGAGCTCAACTGATGGTCCAGGGATGCAGCATAGACTCAGGGGCTGTGACTGCGATCCCTCCTGCCAGAAGGCAGGGTTTTTAAGGCCAAAAAAAAAAAAAAAACCCACAATCAAGTGTTGTCTTGCAAGGCAAACAAGTTTCTAGAAATTAATGCAGCATGGCTGGGAAGATGGCTCAGTGGTAGAGTGCTTGCCTTGCATGCATGAGGCCCTCCTGGGTTTGATTCCCCCCCAGCACCACATACTCAGAAAAAGCTGGAAGTGGTGCTGTGGCTCAAGTGGTAGGGCACTCACCTTGAGCTGAAGAGCTGAGGGACAGTGCCCAGGCCCAGAGTTCAGGCCCCATGACTGACAAAAAAACAAAAACAAAACAAAAATAAATGCAGCAGTTTTTTTTAAGATTTACAATACAGAAAAACAGGATCCAGGTGCACTTGTACAAAAACAGGATCCACAGACACAGACAGAATATGGGTATTTCTGAGATAAACAGGACATGGACCTTACCTCAATCAGACTGCGGTTTAACAGAATATTTTTTTCCTTACACAATAACCAGCAACCTCACAGAAGGAAGGAGGAAGTAAAGTGAGCTCTAGGTCAAGATGATGCTACTTTGGTCAAGCGAGGCCTTTACATGGGCAAACACTCTACCACTAAGCCACATTCCCAGGCTCAGCTGCAATTATTTAATACAATTTTACCTGTATATGGGGTTGTCCTTATAAAATCATAAATGTCTATGGTTGGGTTTACCTACTAAGTAAACCAAGAGGGGAAAGAAGCTAGACTACTGAATGTTACCAGTAAGTTTAAGATGGCTACACAACCTCAATCCTTGGGTTCACAAGAGAAGAATTTAGGCAGGACGCAGACATTAGTAAAAATGTTAGAAAACTTTATTAGAAAAGAAATATGGCAGAGAAAGGCAGTACATGCCATGGTCTCATAGGAAAGATGGCAGTTCAACTTATCTCCACTATCCTGGGGAATCTTCATTCATCTTCCTGGTTATGGAGCTTGGCCGTAGGTTAAATAGTTGACTGTTGGATGCCTTTCTGCTTGGTGGATCTCCTTTCTGTTTCCTGTAAAGTTGTGAGGCCAAAGTTTTACTGTCCAGTCTTTAGTTCCTCATTCTTCTGTAGTCCCTGCCCTGATGACTTAGTCAGGCAAGGTGTTGGTTTATCAGCTTATCCTGCCATCTGCAAGCTGTGTAGGGCGCAATTCCCTGCAGACTATTTAAAAAACAAAAAACAAAACTAACCCAGAATCACTGTGAGCTCACACCAATCAATAAACCTAAGGAGTATGTTTCAGGGTGTCAGGCTCGAAGCTACAGCACACAACAGAAAGCGCACAGCAGGCACCCACAGCCCCCTTCACACCCACATTCTTCACGTAACACTTCCAGCAAAGCTCTACTATAAATCTGTGTATTTCCTGCTGACATCTTTCTCTTCCCCACTAGATGGAGAATTGGATGATGACCCTGACTGTTTTTGCTTCTGCATTTCTGGGGCCTAAGAGTGCCTGGGAATAAGAAGTTAGATCCACTGTAGTTGAATGAAGCAGGTGTAAAAGAGTGCAGCTCTGATTGCAAACAGTTTTAAGCTGTCTGCTCTAACTACCCATGCGCACCTTGGGGTCACAGTACCTGTAAGTCTATGAGTGAACTTGACCAAGATAGGGTTGCTACGTTCATGGGGTAACACAACCAAGGCATGTTCTCATTCCACCGTCGGGTGAAGTGAATCTGTGACTCGACGCTGCCCTCCAGGACGGCCCGCGGCACCTTCAAGCGTGTGGCAGTGATCAGCATGGGGATCTTTAAGTGACATTCTTAAAACCGTACGGCCCAGACAGCGGCGGCGCAACACAGGAGCGCGCACGCCTCGGTCGCGGCTCCGCCCCCTCTCGGGGGCTTCCCGGCACGGCTCCGCCTCCTCCCGCAGTTGCTAAGCAACCAGATCCGGAAGTCGCCGTAACGCGTCCGCAGGGGCGCCGCGAGCGGGTGGAAGATGGCGGAGGGTGGCGGCGCGGGGCCGGAGGAGCAGGAGGGGCGGTCTTCCAGGCCACGGCCCCCGAGCGCACGGGATTTACAGGTGAGGCGGGCTGCTGACGTCGGGGGCTGGCGGCGGAGTGGCGGTGGGAGTCCCGCGAGGGCGGGTGGCTGCGTGCGGCCGAGCCGTGCCCCGACCACGGCCGGGGCCGACGCCGCTGCGGCGCGGGGGTCGCCCGCCGCCCAGCCGGGAGGCGCGCCACCCCGGCGGGCCGCGGAGAGGTGTGCGGACGCCGGCGCGCAGGTGCCCCATTCCCAAAGCGAGGAGGAACAGTGGCCGGGATGGCATCCCGCGGGGTCGGACGTCCGCCGGCTTGTTGAGGACTCCGCGGAGTTGCGGTCGCTGGCCCGCGGGGTCCCATCCGCGATCACTAACGAAGCGACGCCGTGCTCCGGCTCCTCCTCCGGGATCCCGGCGCGGAGTGGATGACTTCGGCCTAAAACATGGTTCCTTTTACCCCGTAGCTTTTCTTTGTTAAAGGAGTGAGCCTTTATGGTTGCAAGAAGGGGTGGGTGAGACCGTGCACGGAACAGAGAAATAAAAGTTGGTAATGTTGAAAACCACCTCAGTTAACTAGATACCAGTGCACCTAACACTCTGGGCAGATGCTAACACCATTCTGCTCTTTTTTTCCCTACCTCCTTACTGGAGGTTTACACGAGTAAGGAGCCAAAATAGAAAATAAACGAGACTCCTCCGCAAACTTGGACAGAATAGTTTAATAACTATATATTGGTTCTGCATTTTTGAACCAATATGTTAACTCCTTACCTCGTAACTTACTGCTAAGATCTGTGAATGAAGATATTAAACAGGTCATCAGATCCATAGCTGGGTACCTGTTGAAGGGTATGAAATGAAATTTTTAGGGGACAGTGATGGGCTGGGCCCAGCAAACTGAATCAATAGAGTTTAATTGGATTAACCAAAGTGGAGCTTTGCTTGGTTGCTGATAACCCTCTAGGCAACTAGTTAAGCTACAGTCAACTAACCTGTTCATCCAGCCATGCTGTAGCCAGTTAAGTTGTCTGTGCCTTCCTTTTAGTCAGATCACATTGGTTCTGGGGACTGCACCATTTGCAAATTCTTTTTATTTGGCTTTGGTTTACAATTAAATGTTATTATATTTAATCGGTCTAAGGAATTTGCCTTTTCAAGATTGTTCAACCTTTTGGAACCCTTCATACTTTTTTTTTGAAGGAATGGGAGGTGAATACTGAACTTAACATTTTAAAGATGAATTATCATTCAATGCCCCAACAAGTAGTTCATAAGATGAAGAATTTGAGGAATGTAGAGATGACTTCCAGTGCCCAGGTCTGTTTCAGAGGTAGAAGTAGTAAGGAGAACTGAAGAAAAGGAAGTTATCCACTTCTATGTTTTCTAATGTGGACCTAAGAGGCAGCATGAGGTGCTGTAGTTTTTTTGTTTGTTTGTTTTTGTTTTTCTAAAAAAGGATTATTTGGTTCTGAAAATTTAGGAGAAGACTCTTGGCCTTTATGGTCAGCAATGTCTTCACTTGTAAATTACAGGTGATGAGAATTAATACTGTCTCTTAATGGCCTATATACAACTCCTTTATTATCCTGGCTCAGTCCTTGCCTGACAAGTGTGCTGTTACTTATCATTAGTTAGTACTCTTTAATGCCAGTATTGTTAAGACTATGTAACCATCCACTCTCCAAATCCGTTTCCTAATTTTTATCTGAAAAGTGAGGCTTGTTTAATCATGACTTGTTTGTTTACACACTAATCTAGTGAATCAATATATAATTAATGGTTCAAGATATTCTTACAGACATACATGCATAACATTTTTTATCTTTCTATTCTATGGCAGGCACATAACAAATTTATTAATAATAATTTGATACACCAATAATAGTATTTAAGAATTGATCGTCGGGGCTGGGAAGGTGGCTCAGTGGTAGAGTGCTTGCCTTGCATGCCTGAGGCCCTGGGTTCAATTCCTCAGCACCCACATAAGCAAAAAGAAAAAAGCTGGAAGTGGTGCTGTGGCTCAAGTGGTAGAGCTCTAGCCTTGAGCTGAAGAGCTGAGGGACAGCATTCAGGCCCAGAGTTCAGGCCCCACGACCAGACCCAAAAAAAAAAAAAGAATTGATCATCTGCCCTCTAAGATTTAATTGGAATGTGAAGGACTTGCAAGAAGCAACCAAAGTGATGAAATTTTAAGAAATAAAGTATATATCAAAGGTTTTAAAGACTTGGATAATGTTATTCCCAACTGGTTTCTTAGGTATCAATTACTTCTGAACTATTTTATTGTAAAAAATTACCTAGTTAATACAGTTTTCAGTAGATACTTCTTCCTTTTTTGGGGGGGGGGAGGTGGTCCGGTCGTGGGGCCTGAACTCTGTGCCTGGGACTTGAGCCATAGCACCACTTACGGCTTCTTTTTTTCCTGCTTATGTGGTGCTGAGGAATCGAACCCAGGGCCTCATTCATGCAAGGCAAGCGCTCTACCACTGAGCCACCTTCTCAGCCCCTCTTCAGGACTTTTATCTTGAAGAGATGTTGGACTTTATCAGACATTTTCTTTGTATTGAGATGATAATTTTTGTCCTTTAGTCAGTTTTTGTGTTGTACTCATTGATTGTGTATGTTGACCCATCCTTGCATCCTTGGGAATAATGTATGATCTTTTGGATTTGGTTTACAAGTTTTTAATTGAGAACATTTGTGTCAATAGTTAGAAAGAAAACCGCACTGGGCACTGGTGGCTCATGCCTATAATCATAACCACTCAGAAGGCGGAGATCTAAGGATTTCTGTTCAAAGCCAGCCAAAGCAGGAAAGTCCATGAGACTCTTATGATTTAATCAGAAAAGGCTAGAAGTAGTGCTGTGGCTTAGGTGGTAGAGCACTAGCCTTAAGCACAAATTGGCTCAGGGACAATGCCCAGTCCCAGAGTTCAAGCCCCAGGACTGCCTCCCCCCCCCCAAAAAAAAAAAGAAAATCACTCTATAATTTTTTTTTCTGTTGTGTCCTTATCTAGTTTGGATATTGGAGTAATTATAAAAGTAACTTTGCTGGTTCAGGGTCTGAAATAAATCATTCTCTCTTTGTTTTTAAAGTTTCTTTTGAGGAATCTGTTTTTTCTACTAGATTTGCTTTTATAGTTGACATGGTACGATTTTCTTTTACAGCTTTTGGTGGTGTTTCCTTCTTCTATGTAGTTTTGTACAACCTGAGGTTTTAACTGTAATATATACTTGAGCTGTCCTTTTCTGGACTTAATTGGAATCCTATTTTTTAATCAAGATTTTCTTGAATATATTTTCTATGTTTTAGTTTACTTTTCTTTCTGTATTCATGATTTGTAAGTTTGATTTTCGATAGTATTCCAGAGGTCTCGTATGTTTCATTTGTACTTTAAAAAATTTTAGTGTTGCAATACATTACTGAAACCTAGTGCTCTACCACTTGAGCCACAATTCCACTTTCAGCATTTTTCTGGTTATCTAGAAAACAAGATCTCATAGACCTTCCTGCTTGGGCTAGCTTTGAACCATGATCTTAGCCTCCTAAGTATGAGCTAGTACTCCTGGGTATAATACATTTCCAAACCCTGGTAATAAGTCTTCAGTTTTATCCAGTCTACTGGGAATGCTTTCAGCTGAGTTTTGTTTTTTGTTCTTACTTATTGAGCTTTTCCATAATTTCAGGTTTTGTATTTTTTTTTCAGAATTTCCATATCTTTAGTGAATGTGTTCCCCTTGTCTTTATATATTTTATTAAGCTCTTTGATTTATCTTAGAGTTTGCCCAGGTATTTATTACTGTCCTCTTTAATTTCATTTTTCTTTCTTACAAATTTCTTTTTGGAAGAATTGGATTGTTCAGGGGATTGTCCAAGCAAGTGTCCAAACCCTGGTGTGACTCTGAATGGATTAGGGAGGAGTAGGGAGACAAGCAGAGCACTGCATTCTCACTGACAGGAATCTAGGCACTCTTTGTGCTTCCAGGCCCTTCCCAGCAATTTCCTTCCTTTTGGTATGAAGGTGGCTATGGACATCAGATGATTCAGAGGGTTTGGGGTCAGGGTCTCAGTTACACTTGAAAGCATATACTGGGATGCAGTTCCTGAAGGAGGGCTTCAATGTTTTTGAGTACCATACAATTATCTCCTTTTGTGGGAGGAGTCTGTGGTGATGACATGATTCAGAAAGCCAAAGCTCAGGGCTCTCAGACTTACCTGGCAGCTAACACTTGCTAAGATTCATGGAAGTATAGGCCTCTGTGTTTTCATACACTGCCCAATAGTTTTCCCTCCTTGTGTAAGGGAAGTAATATCATATGATTCAAAGATTCTAGAGTCATGAGTCTCAGCTCCCCCGGTAGCCAACATACAAATCCAGGAGGCAGGATCTGGAGGTCCAATAGTACACCATCCACAGGTTTGTTGTGTTTTTGCTGTAACTCCAGCAATTGGACTTGCTCTATGCCTTTTGAGGGTGGCCTTTTGAGCACCATACCCTTTGCTGCACAATTTCCTTGTGGCTTAAATGTCTCAGCAGGTCCACATCACACTGTTCCTCTCTCCATGATCATCTCTTAAGACCATTTCTCCCTCCCTCAATACTGTGTCAGCTGTCTTTAGATTCCCTAAACCATGATTGTTCCTTGTTTTTATTTTTGTTTTTATCCTAAAGTTCTTTTTTTAGATTTAATTTTATTGTATGTACAAAGGGGTTACAGTTATATAACTAAGTAATACTACATTTCTTGTCGAA